ACCGCAAGTGGTGACGACCCCCTCGGCCTAAGGTACACATCCCATGCGGGTTGCGCAGGCAAGAGGCCGTGATCCAACCAACCCCCGCCCACTTCATAAAAGCACCTGGCCGCGAAGACGACGGGATCTTCGCAAGACCCCCGCCCGCCGCCCCCAATCCACCGCCCCCGAGAGGTACATCGGCGGGGCTTGAGGTCCGCGGGGGCACCAGCATTCAGCTGACAAATGCTATTAGGAATTGTCATGCGCACTTCTCCGAGGGAGCATCTACCAGAGGCGATCATTTGAGATTTAGTCTTGCGCGAACGGCCCGCAACCGAAACTTTATCTGCCCCCACGCGCATCGCGACATCGCTGTTCATACAGATGATGTGTTTCAACCTGAGAAGAGGAAGGATAACAGGAGGTGGCGGAGGAGGTGGAGGACGGGGGACGACGACCAACGATGACGACGAGGAGGCGCCATGGCATCGGCTACACGCAATAATGACTTTGGAAACGAATGACCTTTGGTGCGGGGCTCAGTGGGGGCCGAGAGGGAGCCACACCCCAGCGCGCGAGCCAGTGCCGGAGTCCCCTGTCGGCCCGCACCGCAGAAGGTAATTCGGCTACGAGCCATGCTGAACTACTGGCCGAGGGCGGGCCAGACCACTGGGAGAGGCCTCTCGGGGCCCCCCTCGGCGGCGTCGCTGCCTGGCAGCGGCGAGGGGGGAAAGGAGGTGGAGGAGGACGGCGACGACGGGAAGGAGGAACGTTGGGAACGTTGGGGTGAACGACGGCGAATGTCGGGACTCCTCTCGCTTACTGCTGCAGATCGGCGATGGCAGCAGCTCGGACCGACTTTGGCGGCCCGCTGGGGTGGGGGTACTCCCCCCCTCTTAATTCTCGCCAGAGTATGCCTTCCCTTGGCTGCGGGGAGGCCACACAACGAAACCAAATGCCTGGGGTCTGTCGTGGCTGTACGACCGCACTTGGAACAAAACGTCAGATGAAATAGCCCCCAATGCTGGAGGGAGTGGGGATCATGCAACTCCTGGCCCCCTAACACACGACTCCCCAACAAAGGGACTATACTGAGCTGGCGGGCGGCCTGAGTGCAAGAGCTATGGGCAGCCTGGAAGACGCGCTCTCTGTTCACGAGAGCCTGACAAACCGCGCAGTAAAGCTTTGAGCCGACCCGTCGCCAAACGCGCTGGGACGCTCTCAAAGCCAGCTCGAACTTGGGGGGGCGGGCGGGGCGGGGGGCCGAGGGGCGCGCCGCTGTCCACGGATCAGCCTGGATCACATCCGCAAGCGCTCGCCGCGCCCGCCTCCTCACCAGGAAAGCTCCAATGTCCCCCTGGTCCGCGGCGGGACAGGCCGTGGCGAATTCGGACCACGACGACGCGGCCGCTCTGCCAGCCAACTCGTCAGCACACTCATTCCCTACCGCCCAGAACCACTCCCTTTCGGACCTGATGTCCTGGGCCTCCAGGTGGGAGGGGGTCCAACAGACAAGGATGGGGTCGGGGCCACGCTCGCGCGCAACCTTGCCGATCCTGGCCCAGAGGTCGGCATTCCCGAACCTGAGCGACCGCGACTTATGCCGACCTCTGGCCCAACCATCCACTTGCGGCTTATGATCGGACACAAACCTCAGCGGGCCTCTGGAACACTCTAGGGCAGCGGCAAAGGCGGTGAGCTCCGCTCGGGGAACCGTCTGTTCGGCTCCCGCGACCCCGCGCGCAACGCCCGCCACGGGGCGCCGGGCAACTGCTGAGAGAGCCTCGAGGGCCACGATCCCCGAGCCAACGCGCCTTCTGCGGGGGTCATTGGAAAACCTACCCCCTGACCCGTCTCCGAACACGGTGAGGTAGCCGTCTTGGCCCCTCGGGGCCAGGGAGAAACTACCGAATTCGAATCGGTAGGGAGGGAGGTCGAGGTCGAAGGTGGGGGTAGTCTCAGCCTTGCTAGGCAGGCCTCGTAGCCGCAAGGACGGAGACGATTCGTGTCCAACCTCCGCACTCGGTAAAAGATGATTAGACTTATCATAATCTGGATGTCCTGCGTTGCACTCACATGACCATATCTGTGAAACAAGCTCTCTTTTTTCCTTGCCGCAGCGCACGCGCAGCAGGGACTCGAGCTCGTAGCCCGCCTCCTCCTGCCTCTCTCTGGTCCACTGGGCGCCTGTGACGACGGCAAGGTTGAGCGCCCAGAGGTCGTCGTCGCCATTGGCCTCGAAGCGCCGCTGCTCCCTCTGCACGTGGAACGTGTCGGCACCCCGCCCAGCCAGGTCGTCGCCGCTCTGGTGAAGGGAGGCGCCCGCCTGCGATCGATGCTCTCCTCGAACTCGCCCAGCAGCGCGTGGAGGCTGGCGAGCAGGTCGCAGAACTCGGGGCTTGACGAATGTGGGAGGCGCCACCCGGCCTCGGAGTCGGTGATCCAACGGTCTGGGCGAGGGGCCCTCCACCCTGCATCCTGGAGGGTCGCCACCGTCGCCGACAGCGGGCCTCGCACCAGCCGCCCACGCTGGGCACCCGCGGCCTGGAGACGTGGGGCAATCTTCGCCCACGAGCGCTCGATCCTCGGGTGGAGCTCAGGATGTCCAGCCCAGGGGTCAAGCCAGGCCGCCAGCTGCTCCCTCGGGATCGTCTTCGCTGGGTCGGCGCGACCGTAGGCGAGCGCCAGCGTCGTGGTGAGGCAACGCCCAAGGCCCTTGCCAGCCGCTGCCCTCGCTGCCTGCCTCCTCAGCCTGAGCACCTCGTAGTGCGGGAGGCCGTGCGCCTGGTGGCCGTATGCGCCCTCCGCCTTGGCACCAGTGCCCCAGAGCCCGCGCGTCGCCTTCTTGAGGCGAGCATGGCGTCTCATACGCATGATGGCCCTTGCTCTGCGGGCGCCGCTCTGCATCCTTTGCCTGCCCCGCAACCTATTGCGAGATCGAGCGGCGTTGCAGTCCACCCCGAGGTCTGTGAACCTTACCTTCGCGGTGGCGGGGATCCCATTCTTCCTGAGGCCTCGGGCGATGTCCTCTGCCAGTCGGGTGGTGCTGGCTACCACAGTCGTCTTCGCCGATATATCTAGCCCACCCCCCTGCATGCTGCGGCCCAGCTCGGTGGTGCCCTCCACTGCCGTCTGCTTGACCACTGTAGGCGTGCCCTGGGCACGCAACACCGTGTCGTCCACGTACGTCCACAGGCCAATGCGCGCCTGGTAGTTCAGTTGCGCACGATGCAGCAGCGGCCCCAGGAACGCCTTGGCCAGCGGGACTCCGTGGGGCGATCCTTCCACCAGTGAACGCCAGGGCGTGATCTCCCTGCTGAGCCCCTTCCTATCCTTCAAGAAGCGGGGCGCCAGGAACATCTGCAGCTCCATACATAGCACAATCGCTGGAAACGTCTGGCCCAACGCGTGGCGCACCAGGACTTGGAGACTG